AATCGTGTATAAGTAAATGAAAAAAGAAAAAGAGTATCAGTAATTCACAATAATAAAAAATATTAACATAGATATATAATTTAGAACAATTAGGTGGATGTGCAAACGAAGAAAGATATTTTCTGTTTATTTACTGATTATTTGATTTGTAAATAATTATTTTTTATATGATTACCTAAAACATCTTCTGGACCGCGTTCGCCAAGTAGCGCGATCGGTAGCAAATGTGGTAACGTTGTATTAGGCGCCTGCGGATTGGTACACTCGTTCATAGCCCGTAGAGTAGGTCTTAATTTCGCTTCGAAGCTAAAAGCTTCGTCCGTGTGTTTTTGTCGTAACAAGTGCCATGTATTGGCTAGTCTCTGAATTTGCGGCAAGCATAGGCCGAGCATAACGCCACAGAAGCCATAAAGATTGCCGAGCGCGGTTTTAGTGTCAATTGCCACTTTGATCCATTTGCTGATGGTAGCCGCTCTTTCTGCGATATTGATAATCGTTATTAAGAAACAATAAGAAAGAAACAATAAAAATTAAGTAATCTTTCTTTCGAGACTTGCGTAAATTTATATATTTTTGTCTCTGACGTTTATAAATATCCATCAAAGTCGAAAATAAATAAAAATCTAATTAATAAAACTTTTAAAACTAATTAATAAAATCTAAAAAAAAATTCTAATTAATAAAACTTACCTATAGCCGTGGCGCCAGCTAGCACAGTGACTGCTACCAACAGTTTCAAGCATTCGGATCTTTCGATCAGGTCCATTCTAGCTTGTCTACCATGAGGAAGAGTCGCCAGCTCGATGCCGCTTAATCCGCTTCTGTTCCCTGGTCCTGGTTGAAGTGCTACTTCGAGATCGAGCCTCGTGAGATGAGAGGCGAGCACTCTTGGCGCCGAGTCCAATAACATTCCTGAGACTCCTCTCAGGGCCGTCGGGTCCAGAGGTCTGTGTTCGCCGGTTGGTAATAGCAATGTCGTAAAACCCTCGATATCGAGCACCGTGGTAATTTCTAGAGATGGTGCAGCTACCACCAACTGTTCTTCTGCCGATAATTCATATTCGCTGTTGTTGTTGCCATTTATACCGTCGTTGCTGGTGTTATAATGGCTTCGTATGACCACGCCCTTGATCGGCGCCGAAGAGGAGGGATTGCTGGCGCCGCCAGAATTATTGGTCTCAAACTCACTGTCTCCTGATCCATTTCCACTATCACTGCCGGAGGCTTGATAGCTTTGATGATGATGATGGTGGTGATGATGATGGTGATGGTGATGATGCTGATGATTCGGCACGTAGGGCACTCTAGGAGGCTTAGGTGGCGCCGTGTTTATGGTATTTTGAAGATTCAGACTCGGTGGCTGTTGCTGTTGCTGCAACGCTGGATCTGATATCACCCGGGTGATCTTCTGACGACCCAGCGACAAAGAACAAGAAGGTGGTTGGTTCTGAATTGGTGGTATTCGTGGTAGAGTACTAGACTGAATAGGTAATTGCAGTCCCGTTTGTTGATTGCTGTCCCGAGCGATGTGTTGGTCTGGAACGTGATGCTGAGCGGTTAGAGAGTGGCTGCGTTGTTGTTTTCTAGGTAGACGAGGTGGTGAACCGGTTGACAGAGAGGTGGAGGAAGGGCTAGAGCAGTGTTGATTACTCGTAGGTCCTGGAACGCATGTCAATGGCACTGATCTGGGCTTCGGAGTGATAATTCGGGCCCCGCTGGCTTGGCTAATCGGTCGACCACTGCCAACGTAGAAGGTTATCAGATCGGCGACCGTATCGAAGGCCTCGTCTTCGAACTGATATTGCGCCCTTTCATAAACCGTGTCAGGCTGAATTACGACCTACCAAGAAAAATTATATAATTTTTAAATCTTTACAAGATTAAATTGATTTTAAAATTTAAATATTTTAATTTTAAACTTTAAATATTGAATAAATTATATGTTCATTTATTAATAGAAAATTGTATTAGAAGAGGAAAATTTCTGACGTATTTTATCAATATACAATCTATTTAACAATGAATATGAGTGGTGATAGAAATTAATTTATTTTTATGTACAAAAAAGTATATTTTGCTTTATAAGCTAAAATAGTTCTTATACGTTTCGGATTTTTAAAACGAACTTCTTCTGATTTGATCATGGCAACTTACTCGATTGATGACAAAATGTAACGGTTGACCCTTCCATCGTACGGTCAGAACGTAGTTGCCGGGTTGGGAGGCGCAATCACGCACCAAAAAATCTCCGTCGTTTGGTACTTCCGCCTCCGCACCTTTTCGACCACCACGCAACGTGCTGCCATGGTACCAGGCGTGTGATCGTAGATCTCGAGGATCAAGAAGCCGCAATTCTCTTTCCAAGAGTTTGCGAGTAGTCTCCTCAGGTGGCTCCTTTGAAATCGATAAAAGTACGGTTTTAATATTATCTGGATTTCGCTTCTATAATTAAATTTCGAAGAATTTATGTTTGTTACATATTTCATGTTAAACATATTAAGAAAGGAATTGAGACGTCAAAGATATGCAGTCTGAATTAAACCGAATAAAAAAGGCTCAATTAACATTGATCAAAAGCTTGACTTTATCAATGAAATTCTCTTTAACATCATCTATAAATGATGAATCATTATTATCATGAACGATTTGAATATATCATGTTGGCACATTCTTGTATTGTTGATTAATTATCTCGGAATGAGAGAGAAGAGACAGCATATAGTATATCGCGCGAACGTTCCGCGTAAGACAATTGTGGTAATCAATGTTAGAAAGAGACTGCGGTCCAGCGAAGATTGGCTTAACAAGAGCAGCCTTGAGCTCCCCGTCACATTGCCGACGATCGTCTGCGACTCGTCACAAACGCGTCAAGTAGCACGGCTATCACGCAACCCATCATTGCTCGTACTTGAGTGTATCGTTCTATTTAATTGCTTCCTATAAATCGCGCGACAAGAAGCTGGCGTTGCCGCTTCAATATACTTAAACCTATAATTATGTGTTTGATCGATTACGCGAATATGTGTGAGAGACGCGACGTAGCATACAAAACATTCCGGATTATAGTACAGCATGTATTTTTTGTAATTTTTTTATCAATTCAACGTTTTTATGTACAAAAATATCGGGAACCGGTTTTTCAATTATAAACAATCGAAAATAGTGAGATTTTCAGAAACTTTAAGCTTCAAAGAAAAATGAAGGAATAAAACTTCATTTCTCATTTAATTTCAACATTTCTTTCAACCTTATAAGATGCATGTAAAAGAGAGATTTCAAAATTAATTGAAAATTTATGTAATTCGCAAATGATAATGTTAACATTTTCGCTAAAGATATGAATCGATGAATCCCGGATTTCAGAGAATCAGTGAACGATAGATATTCTATACGATATTCGAATTAATTAAATCTAGCCAAATCGGTCCTCGTATGAATATTTATCCCCATATAATTATACGAATACGGATCTTAGCAAATTTAATTATAATCCATTATCAATTTCTTGTCGAGCAGTGGACAAACCTTAATTTTCAACGTTAAAGTTCATATACGATCGAATACTCACCATCAGCGGAGACAGGTTGTTGCTGTTTTCGGGTGTTTTCGTCGGGGGTGACTCCCGCTCACTTGGAGGATATACGCGGCGATTCACCCTCGCGTCGCTGTCTTCTTCCGGCGTCCTGCGATCAGAACGAGATCTTCAGTCGTTCACATTTCTGCGCTTGGTCCGACCTCCGGCGAGGTTCTCTCTCATAAATCCCTTCGTCCAGAAGGAGAGCTCCGTGCAGCTCTTCGAACGGGCGGATAGAGTTTGACCGCGACTCTCGAGTTCAGTGAATGCGTTCGCGCGCGCGCGCGTACGTACGCACGCACCCCCCTGACCAGCGATTCGAGCAGGATCGTATTTTCACAGGGTACCGCGGGGGTACCATCGAGTGGTATTAATAGACCGCGGGGAAAAGAGCCGAGAGATAGGAGAGACAGAGGAAAGGATTGGTTGCGCGTGCCAAGGAAAATATTTTCTTCCCGTCGACTTCTTTGTCCGTCCGTACACGCGCTGCCGGCGATTAACCCGTGAGTTAAATCCGACGGAGCCTGGTCTCGCGCGATGAGCGGCCACGCTGTTGCGGACGTAATGAGCGTGTAGAAAGTAACGATGTTGCTCGTTGATGTAGTAGAGTAGCTCAACATACACAGCCTGTTAACTTCATTAAATCGTCATCGTTTGTTGAACGATTTGAACGCGCAATTATTTGGTCCCCGCGAGTAGAATATAATATTTCATAGTAATATTTCATATAGTAATCATTCGGTTTTATATATATTTTTTCATGTGCTCCTTTATTTAATTCGCACATAAAGATAAATAAAAAGAAGTTAAGGTCACATTTTACATTCGTCCGATGACGACGACCGCGATTACTGTGCACCTTTGATTACACCCCGATGGTACACTACTGCGATGTTATCGCCCTCATTCGTTTCCACCCGCTTCAACTCTACACCCGCCCCTTCGTCTCGTCCGTCAAAGCGAGTTGCTTTGACAGACGACGGATATCGAAGTACACGCGTGTCGACGATGGATGCCTTCTCACGTTACTATCTTCTCGTATCGTAGGGCCTAACGCAAGACAGCACAAAAGTGCATTGCCTTTATCGCTTCCAACCGGGTTATTCCGTCGATACGCGGGGGTTATTGATCTCCTCGGACAAGGGGCTGCGTACACGGAGGGGGTCGACGGCCAAGGTGCGCTTGCGTCATCCGGAAACGTTCGATAAGAGGCGTCACCGAGACGTACTGGGCCAAAGTTGTATTCACTCGTATGAGGAATGACTTTAAATGACTTTAAAAGTGTGATTTCTTACTAGGGCTATTTTTATTCCAAATTTTTCCGCTACAATTGAGAATTGGTGTCCAATCTTCGCGATAATATAATTTTATATTGTATAAATGAAACAAATTATAAATAAGACTAATATATAATCTCATAATTAACATAATTTAACATAAAATAAACGTAACTATAATAAGAGAAACAAAGAAATGATGTTTTACGTAAGTTGCGAAAATTGGTTCGAAGAAGAGCGGCTGCAAAATCATTTATCTCCCTGCGGGCTACAATGTCAGCGCCACAGAGTTGCATGTAAATGAAATATTCGCGAGGATTGCTGCCACGCTGCTGCTGACCGCCGCGCGTGCATCTGCATTGGGATTTATTTCTCGAAAGCCACCCGAGAGAAATCTACACATCTGTCTCGCGAACAATATCGTTTTAAGTTTTTACACGGAAACGTGGGGGTTGCACTCCTGTACGGATTGCCAGGATTAATCGCGAGAGAACGTTTTGAGAATGATTGATAGGTTTCTTTGATCCGTCAATCATAGCGTAACGCTTGGAGTGACGCGCGCATTTTTCTCTCCAACGAGTCACGATGATACTCGAGGAGTCGAGACGCATTTCTCGATGACAGGTGGCTCGGTTATATAGTTTCCCGGTTTTATTTTCCTGTTACGGAATTCCCGCATTTGTGTTAGCCGATCGTATATACGGGAACGGGGTGCGTCATTCTGAAGGTAGAGATCGGAGAGAAACCGGTTCGAGAGTCGTCGGGTCCATTATATTCCTGTACTGGTATCTCGATGTACCCTCAAAGGAGGCTAATTCATAAAAGCTATAACTTTGGGCCCTCGACTTTAGCAAAAAAAAACCCGTGTCCCTCGCACGGTTATCCCTAATCCCTTATTCACCTTCATTTATTCTTCATTTCTCGTTCCCGCGGCTTTCGTCTCGCATGCTAACCACGTTTTTAATTCCTTAATCCTTTTATACGACCCACCAAACAGATAAAAAAAAGTAGGCAAAATTTAATAATCCAGAACGTAATTATATGAGCTTTAAAAAAATTAAAATTGGCCATAATTTTTCGGTGTTGGTCACGTCATCCCTTTGATATGTCTGCTATTTTAGATGCTTTCAAAATACCTGAGTCGTACACATATATAATAATGAAATGTTTTACACAAACCTCGAGTTATCTTCGACAAGATCCTCAGGTGACGGCGGAGTCACAATCAAGCACGGTTCCTTCTGAAGGATCACTTCCGGCTGCAGGTGTATCGTGTGTCTCTTCTGCCGAAGATCCTTACACGAATCCGACGAAGCGAGGCCATTCCGTTTGCGCCGTCGGCTGTTGGTACCTAGGTTCTGCAGAGTACCCATAGATGGGAATCGAAAGCTCCATGCTATACCTGAATGTACCGCAAAGAAATTTACGCGTAAAAGTGTTATCGTCCCTCTCGAATTCAATCGACAGACGTATACAACGTAGATGTAGGTGTGAAAAAGTGTGATAAAATTTAGAACTGTCGTAAATTCGAGTGAGTAATAAAACGCGATTCAATCGGACACCAATGGCGCCGATAAATACGCTCTCGACACGCTGATTAGTATCATTAGGAGAAAGCAGTATCAAAGCGATTTAGAACGAGGTGCATATTTGCTCGCGTGTTAATATATATATATATATATATTCTTCAATTTCTCTTATATTAATTAGTATGTCATTTCATTTTGTTACGATCTTCGTCTCGAGATTGATATATTTTGATTTGCGATCGCTGTGTACACAATCTGATATATACAAATCGCGTTCAATGTATAATTTTACGGTAGATAAAACGTTCCGCGGCTGACATTTACATTCGCGCACTGCTATAAATCTTTACTTGGCTGGCGTGACACGTGAAAATGAAGATTACATGTGTTCCGGCGTGCACTCACGTATACTCGCGCCGTCTTCTAGTTTTACGGATTCCATTTCTGGCGATGTCGTGTTCACATTCGCGTTGTACGATTTCGCACGACGGATGGAAGATGATCGCAATTTCATTGAGCTCGTCCGAGCTGCATTATGCGTGCGCACGTAAACTGCTCGCGTCGAACTTGAATGCACTGCGAGTAGTGGCCGGTCTCTCTCGATGCAGCGGCTTGTACACGTTTGAAAAAGCGGAGTAGAGGAATGCAGGTTTGTAAAGTCGTTCGCCTCTCTCTTTCTCCCGTACCCGTTATCCACTTCTCTACCTCTTTCTCACCTTTGCACACGCTGCGTCTACCTGCTTGTTCCGCTCTTTTTGTCTATATATACCTATAGATATATAGTATATATATCTCGTTCTTTCTGCGTATCTCTTGCTCGTATCCCTCGCGAACATAATACCTGACGATGATGATAACGTCCCTGTTTACCGGGGATATCTATGCGATGTTTAAAGAGGCGCCAAAGTGAGGGACAGTTCTAGGCACAATTTTCGTCACCACGAAGTTATTCTCGATTTTTGTTATGGAATTATTATAATAATTGTGACCTTAAAATCGAATGAATTTCGGACTTAATTTTGTAACAAGCTATAGTTTTTAACGCAACAATGCTATACGAAAGAACTAAAAATAAATTAAAAATAGGAATAATGGACAGAATTCATCAGTCGCAAATATAGATATACAGAAAAGATTGTTTCATAATTTAATAAAAAAAAATAAAAATATATAATTTTGCAGACTGTACTACACGTCATCATACACGGTAGCGCAGACGGTTGTAGAGATAAACCAAGTTAAATATTTTACCGCTTGATGCAGAACCCGCTTGATAAGCGGATTCACAATCTGTTCGTCTCTTTACCTCTCACATTTGAATTACTTAGAAATTATTCCACTGAGAGAAACAGATGTTCGTTCTTTTGGAAAATAAAGTTTTGTGATAATAAAGTTTATTTTTCTTAAAACAACTAAATAGACTTTTCAGAATATTATAACAAAATATTTAATAAATCTTTACAAATTTTTTGATTTGCTATTTTTCTTAAAAAAGATATTGAATGTATATTTAAGTTTTTATGTTATAAAAAAATTTTTTCGAAAATAGACCGATACATAAATCTGTTCGTTTAATTTTAACTAGATTATGGTTTAATAGATTGATGACTAATGGTGAAAATATTTATTAAAAACCAGAAAATGGTAGGAAAATAATATTTCTGTTAAAAAGTCGACTTTAAATAAAAAACGCCATCATGAGAATGTGAGTATACCGTACGTATATTTTTAAACGTCAACGTTTACTTTCATCAAACAGTACCTTTACGTGAATGTAACCTGTGCCCAGAAGGTCCCCGTTTCCTTCGTCATGTAATTACGCACGTGTACCGCGCAAGCGGAATTTCAATCGAGTCGCGTTCATACGTAGAGAAAGACAACCGAAACGAGCTGTTTATCGAGACTTTCAACGCTGCGGGAAACGCGACGTTCTTCTCATGCAGGTTTTCAAAATAATGATAGCGATAGAATTGCGATTTATGTAACGGCGTGTAAATTACACGTCGCGTTCGTTCGGACAGAGCGAAAAGTTCTACTTTCACCGCGCGGTCTTGCGACATCACTTGCGAATATGATGCGCGATCAGTTGTAGGTTTATCGTATGTGGATTCCAAGTGCGCAAATTATGAAAACAATTCTGCGTTAATTCTTTTTATCGGTCTCCGCTTTTTTTTCTTTTATCCGTTTGAACTGGAAAACATTTATGACACGATCAATCAATCATCCTGATAGACATCAGATTCTATTCGGATTAGTTTCGATTCCGGATGATAGTCGAAACCACTTCAATTCGGAACGTTATACGCACCGCAAACGAGTCGTAGGCGTCATTCGACCATAATAAACGTATCGAAATTTTCATATTCATCTCTCGTTAAACTCTCGTTCGATGATTAATTGAAGTACAGCTGATTAATCGCCCGTAATTCATTTCCGGCTATTGCGAGAACGACGCAATCGCTTACGCGGTAATCAGCCTGACGGTTGGCTTTTATGCGATCACACGTGTCGAATATCAGCGGCGCTGACCGATATTCCTTCTTTCGAGCGCGTCACCGCCTGTCGGATTTACGTAACGTTTACAAGCGCTTTACGAACGTGGTTTTCCGTTTTCCTCGACAATCGTAACGTCATGCGAGGTTCGGGTAACGGGGGGGATTATAAGCTGAGCTCACACGTGTCCCCGCAACGCGATCCGTGCGTGCCGATAAGTGCACACTATCACCTTTCTCTTGCCAGTGACACATGAAACTCGGTAGCACATACAAACGCGACGTATTAATCATTTTCATATTTATCAAATTCATTATACAATATTTAATAATAATTCAGCGATATAGCATTTATATAACATACATAACATTTGGAAGAGTATTGTTGGAATTCGAATAGTCGCTTTCGCTTCGTCTATTTTGTCGTCTTATCGCAAATACGCACCTCGTTGTGCACAAGCGAGAATCTTTGCGGGATATCACGAATTCACCGCCCGTTGATATGTATTTCTTATATCGAAGGGGCGGGGAATTTGAATTCGAACTCGAAGAAATGAACGACGAATACGAAAAATGGGAAACCAGACATGGTACTATGTGACGAGTAGCGTAGGAAAATTCGCACTGACTTTGACTTCTTCGCGACTTCAGTTTGCTGGCGGTCTTTCCCATTTTCCCGCCAGTCGCATGCCAGCGGCTGCCCGTGCGCGCCGCAGGAATTCCCGCCGGTGAATTCAATCGAGGGTGCACTGCGGGAAGCGAAACAATTTGGACGGCGCGGCACTGACACGACACAGTTGCAGCACCCTGCGACGCGGTCTGACCGTAGCATAATGCGATACTGAGCTAACTGAGCGCAAACATACTAGAAAGAAGGGACCAGACCGACCGACCTACCGATACGCGAGTGCTCGCAGGAGGAGGAGAAGGAGCGACAGCGCGAGGAAAGGCGCAGAGTGCGGGGGAGGCTGATAGAACGAGGGAAAGAGAAAGAGAGAGGTAAAGAAAGAGACAGCTAAACGGAGAGAGATATCATGTAACTGGCTTGAAAGAGAGCTAGTTATATGACAGAGAAGGAAGGAAAGACTAAAGCAAATGGCAGAGGCGACAGCCGTTAACAAACGATACTGTCGCCAGACGTAACGTATGATGGCCTTCGACTGATACTCAAGCCTTTACATTCTTGAACGTTCTGGTCGGAGTCGAATAACGCGAAAGTCCAAAAGATATATTCTTTGGTCTTTTTTTAAATATGGAATATTGCAACATTGCATTCCGAATTTGAAATGATTTTTGAACGAGACGCATTAAATGATTTTGCAAAAGGAATTAAATCTATCCACCACATGTATTTATTCTGTAATTATTTGAACTTAAGCGTGTCGCTTTTTGAATCTCGCTATTGTTAAATTTGATTCGATTATAATGCACATTTGCATTCATCTGTTGATATTCCTATCGATATTCCACATTTTTCTGGAAACGTTGTTTAATGCTTGAATACTATGGGAATAATTTGCTCAGAATCTTAAGTGTAGAGATACATAACAAGAGATGTAAAATAAAGATAAGAAAAGAACATTTCTAAAGGACGTTTTCAATAGAAAATTCTCAGTGGACAAAATGAACCTAAAGATTTGCGAGAAAGCGAGAATGAAGAATTCCGATGACTGTAGAGGAAAAGAAGGGGAAAGAGAAAGAGAGACAGATAAAAATACGTGCACAAGTGTCCGTCACGGATGCAAGGCAACGTAATTCTTCCCGAGGAGTCAACTGGCCGTGATGTCATCGGAAACCCGGACTCGTTCCAGCTAAATGCGACTCTTCGCATTAATCCGCGGTTTCCTTTTTTTGCGCCGAGTCAGTAGATTTCGCAAGGAAATGCAATAAGCAAAGAGTTATGGTCTGCGAACCACCTGTTGGACATTTTGGCTCCCGGACATGCGTGTGGATCCCTCGCCGAATTCACATCACTTTACTCGCTGTCACGTTCCTTACTTGTGAAGTTTATAAATAGAGAATGATAGAGTCAATTAAACATAAGGTCGCAGAATGGAAAGATCAACGACGCGCGAATTATCGCGTTTCTTTTGATATCAGAGATTAATATTTTGTTATATTTACTGCGAGCAACGATTGTGTTTAAATTAAAAAAATTAATTTGTTTAAAATGGAAAATATTCTCGAACTCCTGTATTTTGATTGCCGAACGTACACGGTGTCGAGGAATTGCGCATCGACAGGCGATGTGGCTTTCGATGAGTCTTGCGACTCATCGAAATTAATCCCCTGGAAATAACGCAACACAAGACACCGCGTACCGCTTAGGCCTTGTTTTATTAGTGCTGTTTGTTAGAATACATCGAGTTTTACAGTCAATATTTTCTATACAACAATTTCTGCCGTATTACACATGTTTCTCTATACCATACATACACAGAATAGTTATTTTGTATACACACGTCGACTAGATCTTACAATGTCGTTTTTTTTTTATTTAGGCTGCGAAGCACCGATTTAATGCGAGAAACGGTTCCCCAATTCGTGACGTATTCCCCTGAATGAGAAATGCGTTTGCTGAAAAAATTGCACGATCCGCTACAAACAAATTGACATTTTAGTCGACTCTTGCCGCTTCCCCTTTCTTTGCTCATTCTCTCCGACTGTTTCTGGAGATCTGTTTGAAAAATATAGCTAATTGACGGATCTATTCTAACATACGATGTCGATCGTTGACATATTTTCCTGTAGGCTAATGGTATACCGGTTTATCGTAACTGAATTCAATTGTCAGTACGAATTTATAGAGTTTATGGTCCGATACGCAAAGGATGCGCTTCCTCCAACTAGACTCATTTACGATTTACGAGCGATGCCTATCGCGTGGTTGAATATCAGCGATTACATAAACATTTATCTCAGGCTGATTCGCTGTCTGACACTTCGAGATATTTACAGGCAGATGAAATACTGAGAATGAAACAAGGATATAAGTGACACTTATAAATCAACATGCGACTTAGCATTGCCAAATCGTTTATGCTGGAAATTAAATGGGAGATCGATATAATCTATTCGCAAAAGTTCTTGCTAAATAAAAATAAATTCCGAAGTGGTCCGACTAATAGTTTCGTAAATAAAATTTTAAAAAAATTTATTTACACTTTCTCGTAGTTCGTCATTCTTAGTGCTTCAAATTATCGTGCCGCTTCTTCATTTATTATACCTTCAGAATACATGTATAAGATAAACGATAACATGTTAAAATTAAAGGAGTAATTAGCGACTCGATAAAACTACAACGTATTTCGCACGACAATGCGAGTAATTTTGTTCGATAATAAGGCTAATCGGAAGCACCGATCGTAACGCTAACCAGTCACTTCGCCGTCCTTCCTCGCGATCTAATCGATCCGTTAATATTCTCTTTGCGTTCCAGAGATCGCACAGATATTCTTCAGTTATTATTTTCTAATTTGTCTCTGTCTCATACAGACACCACAGACATACAAGAGATACGTATACTATACTACAAACGAGCAGACGCACAATGTGCGAATATGTACGAATGTCCGGTGACGCTCGCGTTTCAATTTCCTAAATGAAGAAATGGCTCATCAGAAAAACATCCGCGTCTGTACTAGAAAAATAATTCACGCAAACATAATTCGCGTAAAAATTTTTGTTCCTAGGACGAGCATATTCTCGTAAAAGTATGTACAACGGATCATACTGACGAGGAAAAAACTAATTCAGGCGTAAATAAAGGGATGATTTATATCAGAAGAGCCGAAATTCACATTTCAGCTGTGAAATGTGCGATTATTTGGCATTAAGAGAAAAGATGACCCGCAAAGCCCGATCATACAAAATCATATAGATTCGAGCAATTAGGATTCAAAGCCATATACGGGGCGAGCAACATCTCAAACAGGATAATGGTATTTATTTTCTGAGACAAAGGAGATAAATAAGAAAAGAAATTCAAGTAGATTGAACAAAAAAGTCAAAGACGACGAGTTAGAATATAATTTAAATAGAGCGGGGTACTGCATTTTGTTAGGGAACATCTTACAAAAAAGAATAAAAATAAAAAATTGAAATTCAATAAAAAATATTAAAAATTAAAAAGAAATGGGATAACATATTATTAATTTTTTAAATACTTTTGTGGGGTCTTTTTAGATATCCCAACATTTCGTAATTTCCTTCACAACTAATTAATTTTTTTTCAAATCAACTGTAAAGAATAAACAATCACAATATGTACAACATTGCTAGATAATAGAACTAAAAATTTAAATACAAGCGATTTATTTATTTATTTTTTTAATCTCGAAAAGATAACGGGATCTCCTTAGAAGACTTCTCATGATTTTACGCTTGAATATCTTAGAGGAAATTGCGGTCGAAGTATAAGTATTTTCGGGGACATTCTGTATAAAAGGAAGTACGGCAATACATCGTGTAGTCTGCTTACAGTTGTCTCCTTTCCGCGCTGCGAGATATAAAAGAAATGATTCTCGTAAAAACAAGTGTAGGCAGGTACTGTATTATGTTTCGCTGGAATTCTTCTCTCTGGTTCGCTGTTTTCACTACCAAAGCCCTCCAAGGGCCCGTGATTAGAACGTCGCCGTGTTGGCGGGTTTCGACGATCTCATCTAAAATACTTTCATGTGTTTCATGAGTTTCGATTTCTTCGAACGTATCTTCACGGAAAATCACTACTCTTAACATCGTTAGTTATTTATATCTACTCTTCTCCCCGATAGAAAACTGGGGGACCTTTGCGCTTCTCGACACTCGTTCCTTTTAGAAGAACTTTACGAAGGATTGGAGTCCTTTTTGCGCGCGAGTACTTATTCATTATTTTCTTTTTACACGCGTAAATAATACGAAAAAGAGTCTTGTTCTATCTGATAATGATCTAAATTTGACGACTAGTCGGCGCATTCGCATAGTACAAGTTAGAATCTTGATATGTACGACGCACTAGTACATAATACCAAAAATACCTTGCAATGAAATTACAAAGTTCAAAATGTATAAGCTCGAAAGATCCATCGCTGCAATGGACAAGTAATTTCACGTTGGAAAACGGCTGATTGGAAATAGGCCGATTGTTACAAATTGTATACGGTTTCGGTTTTCCTGTCATCTTCGATGCAAGTTTAACGTTCACATGAAATAATTCATACTCATTCACAATTGTAAATGTAATTACTGTTATGTTGGACGCAACGAGGATAATGGATTCTCGCAAATACGGATGTATTTTGAATACGTGGATCGGCTTTCAAGGATTTCAAGACGATCTTTGTTGTTCGAATTTTTACGGAAGAGTATGTAAAGCCCGCGTCCCATCCAATAATGTGAATAATGGAATAACACTGATTCTCTGCGCGCATATACGCGGATTTTATTAGATTTTTCATACTCTGGTATGGATTTTCTCTTTCTTCATATAATATGTTAAAGCAAATGCCAGTAGATAAATGAAGCTAAGAATTTAAATATCATTCTATTTCTTCATATTTTAAATTCAAAAGAGAAATATTAATATATTGTAAAAATTAATGAGAAAATCTTGTAATCAATTTGTGTTTCGAATAAATGAGGTTGAAAATGAAAGTTGAATAATCAAAATCAGGCATTTTATCCGTTTCTTCATGTAACTCTGTCACTCTATCGTAAAATTCCAATTGGAACGAGTGCAATGCAATTGACAGTAATAAAGCGCACGTTCAACGATTCTCTACGTTATTTAGTCTTTTAAGCGCCGGTCACGATAAGGATAATCGACTCGCGTCGCAAAGTTGTTGCAAAATGACTTTGCAAATATTGCGCCAGTCAACACGGCTCTTTGCAATGTAGTACGACACATATTACATCGAATGCTGAGAAAATAAGTCTGTAAGAGAAACGAGGATACATTTGAATGTTAGGCCATATTTATACAATTTGAATATACGGAAAATTTTCAGTGTTCTTTAGGTTCTTAAAAGAGTTTATTCAAAAGCGTAAAAAGATGCTGAAAATCTTTTATTGGAGTTACACGTGATATTCAAATTGTTCTAAATTGTTGTATCGTTCAAATGTATCTCTTTCTACCTTACTTTATGTCCGATAAATGGACAACTCCTATACAAAGAAAAATCAAGAATCTGTCTCTTGTATTTCCTCTTCGCATAAGAGCAGCGCAATTATATTCTGGTTGTCTTTAGATGTGCTCTCTCTCTCTCTCTCTCTCCCTCTCCCTCTGCGGTGTGCACAGTTTTAGTAGTCTAATCTCAAAATAATTTATTTCGCACCTTTGTACGCCGAAAACGTATGAGGCCCTTATATTTCATCGCGCGCGTGAGTAGTAGCTTCATTCTTTCTCTTACGTTGAGATATGCGCAGATGCCTCTCTCACCGACATTGCGTATTCTTGTACAGAATATAAATGCGTGAAGCTCCCCCCCCCCCCCGTCGTTCTTTAGGCGCCGATTCCCGTTTTGTGCGTGTGGTAATCAGGTAGACATCTTTTCCCCCGTCGAGGGAAGAAGCGAAACCGGAAGAACGCGGCGGTTTACAGGAGGGCGCAGGCGGTGCCGTGCATCACCTCGGAGATGAACATCGGCGTGCCGGCGCTGAGGCCACCGTCGCTCCCTTCACAGGCGCCCTTCTCTTGCTCGTCCTCGCAGTCGAAATAATGGCTCTGTGACAGAACGCGTTTTTACGATGATGTGATGCAGCTTGCACTGTTCGAAATTTCAAACATAAAATCGCGAGTCGAGTCGAAAAAAAACAAAGTATAAAATTCTTTTATTTCAATCAATCATTGCAATTTCAATTTTTCTCTTTTTGTCAGTTTCGTTTTAAAACAAAAAAAATTTTGATGTTTGTACCTATGTTTTATTATCGGTACAATTCAAATTTTTGAGATTTGAATCTATCTGAAATCTAATCTCGAATATAGCGAGAGGACGTGTTTTTTTACAAACGTACCTGGCAATCCAAACATCTACAGTGATCGCTCATTTTGCAAGTTATGCCCCACTGCTTCGCCATCGCCTTGTAAAACTCTTTGCTCGATTTATGAAGTATCTTCGGTCCCTTGGCTGCTTTCCTGTCCCCACCCCCGGGACCACCACTGCCGTCGTCACCCCCATCACCGGCTTCGGCGACCGCCGTGTTCTTTTCGTTACTGGAAACCTGCTTCTCCTTGTCTCCCTCCTTTGCTTCTCGTAGTGCGATGGCCGATGACTCCATTCGTGTCTAGATTACAACATTTTTGTGATTGAGAACAATTACAAATTAAAATAAGGATAGAGAATATTGAACTTCGGAATGCCGAATTTCATTGTTAAGAAATTACGAAGTGACACTTCGCACGTGGAGTGTTTTGATAACGCGCACAACCTATGGCGAGTGATATCGCTACATTGTGACGCGACTGTTTGATACGTTGCGATGTATGGACAACGTGGCGCGAATTATCACACGACGGATCACAGACAACTACACGGTCCACGTGTGCACCATTAATCCCGCGCGTTGCATTTTCCATCAGCGAGCTGTCGTAGATATCGTCCTCAGAACGATTGGGCTTCGGGCCGCATATTTCGCGTTCCACGATAACCAGCTCTCGGTGTAGAATTAATCGAGTGCCCTGTTACGCGTAATTCTTGGAATTGAATACGCGAGCTGCGCAAACAGTTCTCGGTTGACGCGATTCAGAACGTCGATCATATTTTTGCGTCACCCATACGACACATAATTCATAATTCGAAAATGTATCAATTATGTATGTATCTTCATCCGAGGTATGGCGCACTCACCTCTTCGAGAACGTGCTCGTACGAGGGCGGAGGCGAGCTGGGGATCGCCTGCTCATTTTTAACCGACAAACAATTCTTGTCCGTTTCCACCTGGGGTGCATCCGCAAACTCGTCTGTACCCGACGGCAACGACTGATTAATTTGCCGTTGCTGTTCCTCGGATTCCACGCTGTTGCTGCGACTATCGCCGGAACTGCGCGATTTCAGCATCTTCGAAAAACGGAGCTTGAACGGCGCCAGCTTGACGAATTTCTTCGTTCTCGTGGCCTACGGAAAGGACGGAGATCGTGTTTTCATTTGCGAATCAATCGCGAGATGAGTTTTTATATCGAGAAGCCACTTTGCTAGTAATGGGCGTATCCGAGGATTCGCGCGGATATAAAGTGAAATATTCGTCCTACATTTCGAGCGAGCCAACTTTTGAAATAACAGCTGCGCAATTCTGAGTATTTAATATGAGAATTTAAGTAAAAAATACATTCTTTAGAAAGAAGGAGGTGAAAAATGTATGGACTTTTACGAGGAAAAAAGGATTTAATAATAATTCAAGCAGGGACGTGAGATCCGATAAGAAGCGAAAATTTAAAAACTGGAGATGAATGTGGACCGGATGTAAGACGGACGAAAATAAAAATTTCTTCTTTTTACGTCAAACTTGAAATTTTTTGGTTCGAAATAGGTGACTCGGCTCAGAACGAGAACTTTACTCTATACCCGCGAGATCACGCAACTGCGCCGGATGCATCTGTCGTTGACCTACTGACCGAGTTTGCGGATATTGGCGGTCGACGTACCGCCGCCACTCGACTTGGTGCATTTGCGGCCGACTTTACAGACGCGAAGCTTACCCCGCCCTTAAGCTCCTTCCGGAAAGGAGAGGTCGGTGGAATCGAGGACGAGCCCGAACGATGATTCTGGCACGTTGTGCCGCTTGATATTATCATTTTCGATTCGATGCGGCGCGCGAAAATAATATTTGCCGTCGCCGTTAGGTCTCTGTCTCAAATAAAATATATATATAAGATCAGCTTTCTAAATTATTATTAAAACATTGGTATTAATATGGTTCGCATGCGCACGTTAGCACTTTATCAGTCTATACCCGAGTAGAAATTTGGTCTGGTAGAAATCAGGGCCAAATCAGGTATGCCGTATTTAACGTTCGGCCCTGATTCGGCTATCCAAATCCGGCACTGATAAGGGATGTAACGCGTTTCGAAGATTTGGGCCTGATCATGTATGCCACATCAGTACCAGATATGGCATACATAATCAGGCCCAAATCTTCGAAACGCGTTAGATTTTATTTTATATTTTTTATTTTAAATAAGTCATGTTTTTGGAATCTATTTCATATTTGTTATTTTAAATAAGTTATATCAG